CCGGGACGGATTCGAACCCGCCACCCTAGGTGTATGTGGCTGGCGCCCCAGCCACTTGAGCCACAGGCACCAAGCCGGCCTCCTTTTCTTGTTGGAGACCCTCACCCCATCTCTATCCCTAAACCCCTCAAATACTAAATTGGAACTAATCAATTAACACTTAAGCGCACATACAGAAGTAAATCTCAAAAGAAAATCAAGCTGGGAGGAGGAGGGATGAGTAGATTCACATCTATTGAGTACAGTGCACGCTATCTGGGGTGGAGAGCACACTTACATGTATAACTTTGACTCAATCTGTACAAAAACAAAGTACGCAAACAAAACGTGTACCCCCTAATACTCTGAATTTAAAAAAATTAAGATAACATGAAAAAAAAATTTAAAGGCTGGAAGCGTTTGCTGTCTAAGCTAAACTCATCTTGCTCTTAAACCGTTCTTTCTCAACAAACTTTGTTTCGCGCTTGCAAAAAAGGAGAAAAAGAAAGGCTGGAAAGCAGAACTAAAGAAAATGGACTGAGGGAGCTCAAAATGAGATTTTTTTTTTTTTTATAATCGTTGACGCCCTCAAATGGGAGAATCTGGTTGTTACCCTTCCAACAAATAAAGCCGCAGATAACCTCCAGTCCGAGCTGTTACACATACATGAATGTGCACACATAGTAAGCGGACATTCATAGTGTTATCTATGTCAGACCCCAGAATAAGTGCTTTGCACGGATCCTCTTTAGTTACTCACAACAGTCCTACAAGGAAGGGATGTGCTCCTGGGTTCCAATTCTGTCTTTGAAACTTACTAGCTGCATCCTTAGACAAGTCACTAACCTTTCTGGGTCTCAAATGCTCCCATGCAAAATGGGAATAGTTCGAACGTTGGTTGTAAGGATTAGTAAAGGGCTCAGCGGAGAGCCCTGCACACGGCAAACGCTCTGTTAAGTGTTAGCTATTTCTATTACCGTTAAGTGTCAACCTATTACATACAGTTAAAAGCCCCTTTATTGCCCAGCCCACCGCACCTGCAGCTCTGCTGGAAACTGGGCAACCGGTCGAGCAGGCGGCCGAGGGACGCCTCCACGTCTCCAAACAGGCGGTGGATGCGCTCAGTGCACTCGGCGCCGCGGATGAAGGTCTTGTAGTTAGCGAAGGCCAAGTCGCGCGTCTGCTGCAGCAGCTGCGCCCGCTCCTCCGCCAGGCGCTCAGGCTCCCGTCGCAGCCGCTCCAGCCCCGACCCGCTCAACTCGCGGAGGTAGCGGCCCACATCGGGCCGCTCTCGCCACTGAGCCTCGGAAAAGCGGTCCCGGAAGAGAGACGCCAGGAGCCCTTCATCTTCCACTTCCCCGAGAGCCGCTGCCGTGGCAGTAGCGGTAGTCGAGGCCGCAGCTGGGGTTGGGACTGTCGCCGCCGCAGCCATCTTCCCAGCCGCAGTGCCAATCACCCTCCAAACCGGTGAGGGCGCTGGCTTAGAACCTGGAACCGGAAGAAGATGGGGGCTCATTTCCGGTCTCAGTGTCTCCCCCCCGCCCCCCTTCCTGCGGTCCGCCGGCCGGGGAGGCGCTAGAGCGAGAAACAAAGGGAATGGGGCTAGAGAGGCAGGCTTTGGGGTTGCCAAGGAGCAGCTGGCGGCTAATTTCCGTTTCCGGCTACGGAGGCACGAGGATCCGGTGCCCTAACCCAGCAGGAAAATGCGGCCTTTGACTGAAGAGGAGACCCGTGTGATGTTTGAGAAGATCGCGAAATAGTAGGCGCGCTCGGGGCGGATGAGGGGATGTGCGTGGTGGGAAGGAGCCGGGGGGCGGGTCGCGGCTTGGGGACGCGTCCGTTCGGGCGTAGCCTCCAGTCCTCCTTTCGCTCTCAGCATCGGGGAGAATCTACAGCTGCTGGTGGACAGGCCCGACGGCACCTACTGTTTCCGGCTGCACAACGACCGGGTGTACTACGTGAGGTGAGGCGGGGCCGGCAGGCACAGGCTCCCGGGGGTACGAGTCCCGCCAGCCTCCTTCATCGGCCGCCTTTACCCCCTAATCCATTTAGCGAGAAGATTCTGAAACTGGCCGCCAATATCTCCGGAGAGAAGCTGGTGTCTCTGGGGACCTGCTTCGGAAAATTCACTAAGACCCACAGGTTTCGGTTGCACGTCACGGCTCTGGATTACCTGGCACCCTATGCCAAGGTCTGTGGGGTGGTTCCCATCCTGCCACTGGGGACGAAGTCAAGGAAGGGGGCCCATAAGAGTGCAGGTCACTGGGAGGCTTTTATTCCCCGGAGCCCCTGACGGCGCTTGTGTTACCAGAACCTGGAGATTTTTGGAGGTCTCGGGCCCGCTTGGGCGTGGAATGGGTGTGCTGTGCGGCTGCGTCGCCCTAGTTATCGTCGGCAAAGTAGAGAAGCCTGTGCAGCTCAAGCAAAAAGCATATAAATGCTTGTGATGAGGATGATATTGGGGTCCATAAAAAGTACTGTTTAACTGTCCGTGGGAGAAGCTGCTTGTAGAGTTGAGGAAAGAACGTTCTGTTTAGGGGATGAACAGTTTAAAGGAAACATGCGTCTCTCTCTTTTCCTTAAAACTAATCATAAAGCCAGCAGCTGGCTTATTTGCAGGGATATATATGACTGTTAGTTTTTTTGTGTATTTTGGTTCTAATTCTCTTTTTTTAATAGTATAAAGTGTGGATAAAGCCTGGAGCAGAGCAATCCTTCCTGTATGGGAACCACGTGTTGAAATCTGGTCTGGGTCGAATCACTGAAAATACTTCTCAGTACCAAGGAGTGGTGGTGTACTCCATGGCAGACATCCCTTTGGTGAGTAGAGATGGCAGCTTTTACAAAAATACTTGATGATTCAAAGATATACTTTTTTTTTTTCTTTTTGTTAGAGAGTCTCACTTTATCACCCTCGGTAGGGTGCTGTGGCTTCACAGCTCACAGCAACCTCCAGCTCTTGAGCTTAAGCGATTCTTGTGCCTCAGCCTCCTGAGTAGCTGGGACTATAGGCCCCTGCCACAATGCCCAGCCTTTTTTTGTTGTTGTTGTTGCAGTTTGGCCGGGGCTGGGTTTGAACCCACGAGCCTTGTTATATGGGGCTGAGGCCCAACTCACTAAGCCACAGTTGCAGCCCAAATCTCTGGGCTTGAGAGACTAAATTCTCAGTATCTGAGTTCAATTCCTGAGCTCAAAGACAAGAACTGCTTTGTTTTGTCTTTATTTCCAGCTCTCGGTTTGGGCATGTTGAATGTCTTGAGTGAATTAGTGTCTCTTCTTTTGAATCCCAGGGTTTTGGGGTGGCAGCAAAATCAACACAAGACTGCAGGAAAGTAGACCCGATGGCGATTGTGGTATTTCATCAAGCAGACATTGGGGAGTATGTGCGACATGAAGAGACGTTAACTTAAAAAGAAGTCATTGCAAGGACTTTACAGCTGGGCTGTGTGGAAGGGCCAAGCTTTGTTTCCTGTGTTTATGTAGACTCCACCATCATGTTGAATTTTATGAACACTGTGACATCTTCAGGGACTTCTTAGGTTAATATTCTATCACTGACAAATGCAAGCTAGATTGTTATACAGAAATGGCTCAAAATGGGGTTTCAGAGCTTGTGTTTGTGACTAGTATACTCTGTTTAATATATATATGAATCAGTGGGCTTCTTGTTCTGAGTAACAGATTCTGAATCTTTGGAACTGAGGACAAAAATAGCTTATTATTGTTATCTGTGATAACACTTTGTTTTCTAAACTTGTGATGAGAACACAGTGGATTTTCTATGTTATTTATTAATAGCATGAAAGGTAGGTATTGCCATATCTGACTAGTAGAAAATATTTAGGATTTTACAGATGGAGATTTTTAAAAAATACTAAGCAATTCATCCAGCTTCTTTTTTTTTTTTTTTTT